AAAAAAATAACAAACAAAAAATAAAAACACAAAACATTGGTAAAATCGCTCCTCTCAAAATCTAAAATTAGAATAGTAAAAATACTATTCTTATATCACAATATATAATATTTGTTTCACATTATTGAGCCAGAGCCATTTAAATATTTTATTTAGTCTTATTCTTTATAGACATATCAGCTGACAATTTTAATATTTGGAGAAATGGACATGATAGTCCAATGAAATGTTTGAAGGAAAATAGAATCTAACCTTTTTTTTATTTTGTAGGAAAGTAAACAGGTAGGGAAAATGGACCAGTATTATTTTAGGTTCCTTGGGTATACCTACTGCTATCCCACATGATCTTTGATCTAGATTCTAAGTACCTATAACCATTGATTATAAATTATAAAGCCGAGTATTTATTGGATTTTACACTATTTAATGGTACCCACGAAAAATAACTTGATACGAATTGCGGACAATATTGGTCCCGTCAAAATTGTAATAATAATTTTATCATTTAATTCTGATGAATATAGATTATAGTTTGTTTAAAAACAATTTTTCTAAAACAATATGGTAAGCTTGAGGATCTGAGACCCGATTTAAAATCGATCAAAATAAATTCGTATCCAGCGTCGGATAGACCCACCAGTTTTGGTTTTTAACCGGCCATAAAAGGCCCATTTTCAAATGAACATTTCGAAATTGACTCCAATTTTACACAGCACACCGAAGTAAATAATTGTAATTAAATTTGTAGGTACCATATAAAACAATTTTCAAAACATTTACGATCGGCCCACCGATATTTTCTCGGTAGCTCGCCGTTTCAATCCGGACCTGTTCGTAATCTAATATCTCGCATTATATAAAAATAAAAATTTATCTCGATCGCGCATTAAGATTAAACTCATTCCGTTGTTTCAGTTAATCCACCAAGTGATATATCTTAATATCTCGAATCAGTGGTATCTTTTTTTTTTAAAGTATAATCTGTGGTATAGAGTATAATGCTGCTGYTGTCGCGAAAAAAATGACCAAATAAAAAATAATACGTTTATATCGGGGACCAATTGTCGGTCTTGTTTATTKGTTGTTACCCAACAATATGCCCATTTTGGATGTTGATAACGCGACTGATGATAATTCGTTAACACGACTGAAATAATAAATAATATGCGAAGCACATGGATTGTTRATATTCAAATTTCATACATTTTACAACGTGTCGAGTACGCGGCGACTGGTGATTTYCGATCTTGACAAATAATTTGCAAAGATTTAGGGACTTTGGGAGGTTTGGGGGATATCATAGAGTAATATTACTCTATGGGGGATATGTGACATAATATAATATTAATTTGTAATTTGCACGGCGGCAACGACGAGGACGTGGACGGTTATAAATTTCAATTAATATTTTACCTAATTGGCTAATAAATAATGTCATTATTTGTAATGCATTAAAATAAACTGTAACGGTAGGAAGAAGCGGCGGCGGCGACGACGTGCATTGCCGTTTGCCACAATCTCGTCGCCTTATCTGACGCGTCATCGTTACGGGTACGGTGTACCGTTGACCGGACCGGTGTCGAACATATTAATAGGTATATAGCCAATATTCTATAATCTGTGGTGTTATTTGCCCGACATTGTCTTTTCAACAACAACTATACGTGACTGCCGTTTCACGCGATTTGTTTCGATATTATTACAACGTAGGTAGGTGTACCTTGCAATAACATTTTTAATTTTTATCGGCCACATTAAAAATCGTAATTGTCCGGTGGACGTCTGATACCACGTCGTCGAGGGCCCGAAAGTCGTACCCGCCGAACATCCGATCGCGGGGGCCGCCGTCGATCGTTGAGGATCTCTGGTCAACCGTCATTGACTGTCTACGCCTCCGCGGTTTCACACGGTTTCATTCTGACGACGTTTATTTCGTTTTGTGTGACGGACATTGTGCACTTGTTGCTTGACACCGTTCTCATGGCACATTAATTATAATCGTGTGCCATTGCTGTTGTTGTTGTTGTTGTTGTACGTACCTAATTGATTGCCGTGTAAGTAGGCGCTCCCGAGCCATTTTACGCACTTCACACGTTTGGTTTACGTCCCATTTCAACCATGAAGTTCACCGATGAGGTACGTTTCGTGTAATTTTCGTCCAGTCTTATATACTGCTTTTTTTTAGATGGGTAAACTATCTATAATTAGTACAAATTAATACTCATTTGTATTTTCGTAGATCAAACAAAAGTTTGCTTCCACAGTTCATATCCGATGTGAAAATGATGTCAACGCAAAGATTGAACAACTGGTGTTGGGCGGTCCAGATAAATTACAAGTAACATTGTGTTTTGTAATATCATATACCAAGAAATACTTTGTGTTTATTGTGTATCTATTAATGTGTTTCTAGGTAATATCAGATTTTGATCGAACCATAACTACTTCGGAGTACAACAATAAACATACCATGAGTAGTTTTAGTAAGTTGAAAATTAAAAACAAATATACTCTTGAGTGTTCATTCTTAATTCTTGTAATAAGTATTTGGTTTAAGTTTTGGTATTTATTTTTATCTGTTTTAGGAAATTATATGTTTTTTAGTACATTTTTAAGATTATACAGTTTACAAAATATGATAATAATTTGAATTTTGTTTTATGTTGATACAAATTCTTAATWTCATAATTCAGTGTTAAATTTAATTAATTAATTWCTAATGCCGACAAAGATTTTTCACTAAAATCCCGGGTGGACACCCATCCAGGARCTAGTGATGCCATACRATGGTTGACTGCAGTATTGCWGTAAACATCAATAATCAAATCTGAACCCTAAATTTCATTATAATTGTAGAAAATTTAATAAATTAAGTTGTATTTTAATATTTTAATAGCATATTATTATTCAGTGCTATTGGCACTCTTTGCTATCCAATACATATATTATATAAACTAAACTTTGTCCTACGGGCTACGGTAGTCACTTTAAACAATTTTAAGATTATAATTATATTTTATTGGAATATAAACAAGATCATTAATAACTTGTTGTTATTAAATAATGAATTAATGGTGAAAAAACAATATTTAATTACTATTACTGTTTGACATTGATATGATATTAAATGCATATAATTGTAATTCATAAACTAATTAATAGTTCAAAGGTTTAAAAAATAAAATGCATAAAAAGGGTCTGCTGTAGTACAGTGGTTAGCTGCAGTCACTAATGTGTTCTGAGATCAATCATTGACCGACGTTGCTAGCTCCCGGATGGATGAGTATCTGGGTTTTTAGTGAAATCCTCACTCCCTATACATTTGTTCTGAATCAACTGTATCCCTTCCCCACAGTGAAACATCTGACAACCACGTATAYGCATAAAAGATGAAACACTTAATCAAATATTTTCTATGTTATGTTTACCTGTTTTTGATCACAACCATTAAAAAATAATTACCAGATATACCATGTACTTAGGTTCAATACAATAAATTATTGCTCAAAGTATAAATATGATTTTACCAATAAATAAATAATTAATCAATATTAATTAAGAGGATGCCAGAGCRCTATTTGTTTCCTCTCTCAAAGGGAYGCACAACATAGACAAAACACATYTATGCAAAATTGTTTTTTCTATGTTTTTAAGTAATCTTAGAGTAAAATTAGCCATTATAAAAAAGATAGAGAATAATATTTTTAAGKGAATGACATATCAATATTATATTTTATTTTTATTCGATTTTCAAAATAAACAAATAAATCTTGTAAATTTAAATGTTTAAATTGTTTTGAGAYATTATTTAGACAAATCAATATGTCATTCYCTCAGAAATATTACTCTATCTTTTTTGTAATGGCTAATTTTACTTTAAGATTACTTAAAAACATAGAAAAAAAAAACGATTCTGCGTAAATTTGTTTTGTCTATGTGCACATGGACCATAGACAGAAAACAAATGGTACGCTGACATCCTCTTAATCTAATGTAGAATTAAAAATAAATAAATTAATACAATTTTATCTTGTATAGGTGTATTTGAAGCATGTGATAGTCTGTCAGAAGATTACAAAGAAAAAGCACGAACACTATTACAAAAATATCGACCAATCGAAGATAACACACAAATGACTGTCGCACAAAAGTTACCATTTATTGAAGAATGGTGGCACCAAAGTGAACTTTTGTTGAAGGGCCTGTGTTTCCGATATGAAGATATTAATAAATCGATCAAGAAAGCTGACCTTCATCTTAGGTATWTCTTAATCGTTGGCTACAATACCGGGTGATTCTTTTATCATTGAATACTCATTATTTCAAAAATTATTAATGTTTTTGAAAATATWATTTTTTTAAATATTTTTTATCCTTATAATTTTTTAAGTTTTTTACTTTTTTGAATGATAACATAGAGTTTTAATTTCATATTCCAAAGCAGAATATTTTTCTAAGTATTTTGATTCATAAAAATCGAATTTAGGACGAGTAGTTTATGAGTTATAACTGTTATAAGTATTTAAAGTTTAGATAGGCAGAGTGGAGTGGAACGGGGTTACCCCGCAAAAATTTTGTCCACTACTCTGCTTGACTAAACTTTAAATACTTATAACTTATAAACTACTCATCTAAATTCAATTTTTATGAATCAAAATACTTAGAAAAATATTCTGCTTTGGAATATTAAATTAAAACTCTAGGTTGTCATTCAAAAAAGTAAAAAATTATAAGGATAAAAAATATTAAAAAATATAATTTTTTAATAAAAACGTTGGTTTTTTAACAACGTTAAAATATGTAAAATAWTATTTTCAAAAACATTAATAATTTTTGTAATAATGAGTGTTCAATGATAAAAGAATCACCCGGTATAAATGTTTCATAATATTCCAGAGTTTTTAAATTTGTTCTTTTTAACAAATTACAATTTTTATTTGGTTAAAACTATYCAAACGACTGTKTTAAAAATATGTGAAGTTAACATTTAACRAAAGTTGAGATAGATTGAATYCTCTGGCATTTATTAATTTGTTACGAGCTACACTGTRCAGTRTAWGCTCGTAAATCATAAAATAAATCGTATAATGTCAACTAAACTTCATATGGTATTATTTCTTAAATACTACTTACAAAACATACTACAATTATAATCCAAATTTGTATGTTTTACATATTTTAACTGAGTTTATACAGTTACGAGAKTAAAAATTGCCAATAGTTCATTCTATACAAAGTTCATAGGAAAGTTTTTTTTTGCATATTTAAGAATATTTCATGGATTCGGCATATTTAACATACTTTGGAATATTCTGTAAATTGTGAAAAAAAAAATACTTATTTATTTTATTTTTAATTATTGTAATTTATTTTTATATTATGGTTACTGAATTAATATTTTTTGAACATTTGATAACCTGCAATCATTTTTGTTTTATTTTAATATCATTTGATAAAAAAATTAGTACCATTATTTTGGTGTGTTGTTATTGTATTATTTTATTAARTACTAACTCATTCAAATAACAACTTATTTATTTATCAAATTTCCATACGTTTGKTTTTAAAGTAAAAAAATGCATACATTTTTAACACCTATTAAAACAATGAATTTGAGAATTTGACCTTTCAACATAAAATACACCAATTTACTTACCATAGTGCAATAATTTCATCATGCACATCATTATTGTAAAAATAATAATATAATTTAAATATTTAAGTATGATTTTTGCATATTTTTCTAATTTTTAAGTAAATATTTGTGTTTCTCTGAGAATATAAATAGGATCTATAGTTATATTAATTAACAACTTGTTTAATTTGTGGATAATACTATCCAAATATTTTTTTCTTATATGAATAATTATTAAATGATAAAAAAATAATATTAATATCATTAATTAGTTATTATTAAATACTAATATTAGTWTATTATCTATACATTATTTGCTACATAAATTTGTTTATTTTGACTATCATTGATAGAAATCTTTAAATTTCATGATTTTTAAGTCTAAGGTCTGCACTAAAATTATTGATTTTAGATTTAATGTTTAGATTAAAAATATTAGTATTTGTTTTTCACAATTAATATTCTTTTTATTGTCTTTGTTTTGATAATATATAAAGTATAAATATTATAATTTATCATATTAAATATCATTAACTATAATTAAATATAAAGTATTACCTATTTTATGTTCGTTTTTAATTTTTAATATTTGTATATATTTTTAGAGAAGGGAGTACTGAAGCGTTTAACAAATTATTCAGCAAAAAAATACCTATTATTGTATTATCTGCTGGCGTAGGTGATGTTGTTGAACTTATACTAAAACATGAAAATTTGTTTACTGATAATGTATCAGTAGTGTCAAATTTTTTAAAAATGTCTGAAGATAGTAATGGTTTATCTACAATTGAAGGATTCAAAGGAAACAAACTCATACACGTATTTAATAAAAATGAACATGCATATATTGATACACATAAAAATGTAAAAGCAATAACAAATAATAATAACTTGTAAAATATTATGTATGAACATTTTTTTCCCCTTTTCAGGATACACATTTAAATGGGAGATCCAATGTTATCCTTTTAGGCGATTCATTAGGAGATGCAAATATGGATGGTGGTATCCAATATGATATTATACTGCGCATAGGATTTTTAAACGCTGACTTGGTAATAGCATATTATAATATTATTTTGTGTTTAATAAATACTTTAAATAAATATTAATTTTTCAATATAATATGAATATATTACATTAATAATTACAGATGGAACACGAGGATGGATATTTGCAGCAATATAAACTTGCTTTTGACATAGTTTTGGTTCAAGATCAAACTATGGGATTGCTAAATTATTTGTTGGATGAAATAATCGGAGTAAAATCAATGCTGTCAAATAAATGATAATGTGAGACAGCAAAATTAATTAATTACTAATTATTATTATTACTATTTGTATATAGTGATAAAATTCAAATTACATATATATATATATATTATTTACATTTAATATAGTTATAAAATACTGAATTTAATCTGTTATAACATTTATCTTAGAAAATAAACTAAAATTATTATTATTGAATARATTCATTATTTAAATTAATAGTGAAGCTATCAATTAGCGATAAAACAAACTATTGTATATTAAAAGTATTTTGAGTTGAAACTTAAAATTGATTATCTATAACATAAAAATTACTCACACATTAAAAAAAAAAACATAAACAATATTATCATATAATGACTACAACAACAACAAAATATATAAATGAAAACATTATATGCAACAATTCAAATTAAAAGAAATAAAATAAAATATTATTACAATCTATACTAAACATTGTATATAAATATTTTTAAAAAATGAGGTTATATTAGATTATACCCTAAAAATATTACCATTTTTTGTCATATAACTGCGTACACCTAAAATAAATTATACAAAAAATTAGTTTTGTACTCGTATTCTTAAATAAAAATTATGTATAAATATTTTGACCCACCTGTGGTTTCACTCACTCCACCTATACCTAACATAGTCACTTGATCGAGTAGAGTAGCAAGTGAACCAGGCAATGTGGCTTTGGATCTGACCATCACTATTGGCTTAGGTTTCTTCGCTGTTTGAGTGTGCCAAACCAAAATCTGTGACAATTATGTACATTTTAAGAATATTGTATAGAAATTATTCCATATGAGATAAAACGAATATAGTAAGAATATGACAAAAGTTAAATAATTTAAATAACTTAATTAATAGTGACTGACAAACTAAACTATTTTATTTATAACAAAAAAAAATCAATATTTCTACTCTGTTTATATCATATAATATTAATTCTGTATTTATATAACTCACATTTGATTGCTAATTTAATAAACTGTTAATATTTACTTAATCACTTTTTAAATAAATTATGCAATATATTATGTAGCAAGGGAGGATTGTCAAATATTTTGTAATTTTTACTTTAGTTTGAATATAAAAAAGAATAAATATAAAACAGAATTTATGTTGCATAATAAAATTGATAAATATAACATAGTTKTTCAAACTAATTTAAATATTAAAAGCAAAAGATAAATAAATWATTGCCATTTTCATTATTTGAGCATATCTTGAAATAGATTTATTTAATGTTAGCTTTCAGTAAAATACCATATCACTGATAATGATAAAATAAATTTAATTTCAAAGCAAAATTAAAATATGTATAATATTTGTAAACTAACATCTCAAGTTCCAAGTTGATTTGATTTATACTCATATCTAAGATTTATAGTTAATTAATTCGTAATTTATCATTTAAACATACCCTGGTACAATTTTCTGCCTTTGGTTCAATTTCATCTAATCGAATACCTAATGCTGACAGGAAGCGGTCTTCTTCAAAACCCACCTTATATGGCATATTAGCATAAGGATATTTGAATAAAAGTTGAACATTAATAGCAAATCCAGCCATGTCCACAGGAAATTTTCTTTTTGCTGGCCAACTATCAAAAAAGCCAACTACTTTTCCCTTAACACCATAAAGAATTGATAAGTAATGAAGTCACATATTTGTATAATTGTATACAGTCTGGCTAATGTGGTTGAGAAATAAAAATAAACTAACTTTATCAATAATTGGTGAACTAACACCATACTCTCCGACTAAGCCAACCGGAAACATTGATATTTTTTTTGTAGAGCGTATTTCTTTGAAAAGGTCCAGATGAAACGTATTGTCATCATCGCCAAAATAAATGACAGCGTTTGAGTTATTAATATTATGGTTCAGTCTTATCCAGTTGAGAGCAGCTCTACGGTTGGAAACACCACGTGGCATGGCATCAGGCTTGCGTTTATATATCGATGGCATAGGGCTGGCAATATACGTGTAAGGAATGCCTGATGAAAAAAATGATTAATTATAATAAGTTAACATTAATATAGAATAAAATGTTGAATGTCGTGAGTTCTATAAGTATTTATATTGGTTGCATAGATGGACCGGGTAGTTGGTCAAAATTTCCAYTAGGCCACTCTTCATGTTTAGGTTATAGGGCTGGTTCATAATATCTGTAATATGTACCTACATAGCATTATCAATTATCAATTTATTATCTTTATATTCTAATGATAAATTAAACAAAAACTATGCACCTTAAGCAGTGGCACAACCATTGGAAGCGTTTGGGGTTTGTAATCCCCTCCTCCGAAATGCTTTTAAAAGTCAAATATTTTTAATGTGGATAATTTTTTTTTGTTAATTAATTTTTTTATGTGAATAATAATCCCCTCACGAAAATAGATCCTAGTTGCGCCACTGATCTTAAGTATTCAGTGTATCATATAACATAAAAATTATAAGCAACTATCTAAGTAAAATGCGAAAACACGTCTGTACCGGGTCCTCGAGTACTTAATTAAGCAGGAACAAGATAATTTAAAACCTAACCAGAGTATTACTTTTTAATTTTMATTTTTATGAATTTTAGAGATTTAAAAAAGTCCAGTTCAAAAAAAAAAAAATTACAAAATTTCCAATGCTAGAATTCATGTACCAAATATTATCTATTTTGATGGTTGAAAATAAGTATTATTATTTCAGTTAAACATTATATTATTATTTATTGAATAATACAATTAACCGTAATTGGTAAAATATATATTATGAACATTAATTCATATATTTTTTTGGCTGCCATCTAAATTTGATTTCTGGGTTCGTCCCTGATCGGTTGAAAATACAGATTTTAAATAAAACAATTAAACTAACAGTCGTTACAAATGTCCAATATCATTCTTGTATCTCTGTTACAAATCAATATATTATAATGAGGTTTTTTACAGTATCTAATAAGTATGGAAATTCTAATTTAATGGTATAAGACTCAAATTCTTCATTTCAAAACAATTTTATGCAATCGATTTTTTTTAAATTTTCTAGATTTCTATATTCTTGATCATATTTTTTGAAAATTTTTCAAAATAATAAAAATTGAGTGAAAGCCCACTAAGTTATAAATCAAACCTGCAAGTTGTTGCCTCCGTATAGAATAATAAGTATGATAGCAAAACACAAATCAAAYGGTTTAATTATTAATGTAACCGACTTTTTTTTTTATGACAATCTACTTCGTAACCATTTTTTTATATTTAAAAAACGATTTATACGTTTTCTGCACAATTTACATCGCGCTTTGTAACACAATGAAGATATTTTTATAACGAATTCAAAAACATAATTTTTCTTTTTTWAAATTGTTTTTAAAAGTATGATCTAGACATCTAGTAAATGGTAATCTAGAAAATTAAAAAAACTTATTGCATGCAAAACGTTTGATTTTTGAAAAAATATCGAATGCATGCGTCATTCATTCAATTAGAATTCCCATTGGTTTCTCATTGCTGTGGAAAACTGCATTTMAGTAAACTGATTTTCCAAAGAGATACAAATGGTGATACAGAACTTCGAGGCAAAGGTACTGTACTCTACATATGTAACTAGGGACATAGTATTATTATTGAACATTTTTCTCACTGAAATCGGGCAGTAGGTTCATTATTTGTARACTGCAGTCTGGACGATCGTCGGCTACAATCCAATAAAGTCGGGAGACGTGCATTAGTGTCTGTCCCAATCTGGTGAGCTCGGGGATTTGCTCACGCCGTGGATATGTAGGCGTRATGAAATAAATAAGAGCAGTATCGTTTCCTCCGCCACCGTTACGGGCAGTTTCGCCTTCCCCATTGTCACTGTAATTAGTTCCTCCGTTTTTATCGACGGTATTGACGGTTGTGCTGTCGTCTGCTTGTCGCCGATGGCGGCTGAATCTGTCCTGCAAAAATAAAACAAATGAATGATTTTTACCGTCTTCGTAAAATCGCACCTAATTGCAGTGCCCAATATTCAGCGGACCGCGGTTAATTATTTTATAGATTCTGAACGAAACGTAATGCTTGTAAATGTGCGTATATTAATGATACCTATATGGTGTTTTTTTTCTATAAATATTTCCATGTCAAGATTTTGAAAATTCAATATTAATACAACATTATTATTATATTAATACTTATGTTTAAATTGTATTGAAAGGTTTTAACAAATTAGAAAATACTTGATCATAAATTACGTGTTTTTTCTTTTTTTGAATGTAAAATTATTATATTCTAGTTTGGTCTTAATAATAGGAGTGAAAACCCTCAAAATGCGAGAACGAAGTTTAAAAGTAAGTACCTATTTACAAGCACACTGAAGTACATACACCAAATAACTGGCTGTATTATACATACAGTGTAAAGTAAAAAATAAGGAAGTCAAAAAAACATTTTCATCAATTCAAAAAAAGTCAATGAAATATTTATTTGATAATGATAATCAAGAAAACATCAATCAAGTAATATGCAGTTTTTAATTGTTTATATAGATATCTGGGTAGAAACTTCAGTTGCCACGTATTCCTTGAGTGGTTTATGATCTACCTAACAAATAACATTTTCAGTAATTTTGAGTGTCCTTAGGGGGACTATAATATATTAATGATGGCCCGAAATAAGTACTCGTAGGAGTTTTAAGAGTTTGAAAAAAAAAAATCTTCATCATTAAAAATGAACGCGTTCAAATAAATATTTGAAAATTTTTTTTAAATTTATTATTCATCGAGTCTAATTATTGTGAATTTTATTCACATTTAAAAGAAAAATAATCAAAACTATCATCAGTAACGTTTCTAAGGAGTTCAGTATAGGCAATTTTCTGTTCGTTCGTGTGTAACGTGCGAATGATGTTGRTGTAGTAATACAGAACATATGTGTGTGTCGTGTGGGTCAAATTAGTCAAAATAATTCTTCAATTTTCAACTTCAGTATTTTTGCTAGTGGAAAATTGAATCTAGCCGCAGTGCTTTCAGAAGGTTTCAAAGGYTTGAAATAACCAAAAGTTTTCAAAAGCAACGAAAAAAAAAAAACAAAAAACTTTAATGAAAAGCAAGAATTTTTAACTAAAATCGGTTTTTAAGAAATTTTGATTTTTTCGTGGAAATTAAAAAAAGATAATAATGATTGCAATTACATGAAATGCTCACCAAATCTTTATACTAAAATTTTTTTACAATTTTAAAATTATTTTGACTCTGAGCTATTTATAAACAGTTAAAAAAAAAATATTAACGATACATTTTTTCACTCGATTAAAGAACTTTAAATTAAAAAACAAGTTGAGCGTAAAGCCACAGTATTTTTTTTTATAAACATTTAAAATAATAGTTTCAACAAAACTCGTCAGTCACGAAAATTTGGAAATTATTTTGAGTTAGAAATTGATRAAAATCCTTTTTMTGTTCAASATTTAGTACAAGATTCTCGAAATTTTGTTGTATCATAATTAAAAATTCTATTAGAAAGTCAAATTAAATTCGTATGAACGTTTGAAGTTCACGATATTGAATATCATAGCAGTTGAAAAATATTAAAAATCCATAGTCACA